TATCCGTCATATACTCACCTCCTTCTGCTCCCAGCGCTCTGCTGCCACACACCGGCCGTCTGCGGAACTGCAGCCGGAGGAACTCGGGACAGCTTGTTATGTGTGGGGTGCTATGGTGGGGTCCCATGTACTTGTGCACATAAATAATGTTTCTAATTATTTACAATTAAAAATATATATATATTCTGCGTTACTTTAGCCAACACTTTTATAAGGCCACTAGATTAGATAATTACGAAATGTGTAGATAGATAGAATACATATATTTCAGGTTGTTATTTTGTCATTATGTTTAATGTTTTATTTACCTTTTAGTATTTGTATATAGTATCTGAACTTTGGAGAGGAGTTGGGAGACACACGACACATCAAATCACATCTACAGATCAAGGCGAAGCGAATGGAAGTACTCCCATACTATATATACTAGTGTGAAAATGTTTGTGAAAACGTGTGCAAAGTCTCCGAAAATCCTAAAAATAAGCTCATATTTGAATTCCCCATAAAAAAAACACATCATTCAGTAAAAACAAGGCCCCACTGATCATCTACTCTCTGAGACGATTCCAGGGATGTCTGGCTTGAGTTTCGACCACCAGGGAAAGTGGACAAAAGTGCCCGAGATCAGCCTCTTAATTTACCCAGGGCCTAGTGCTCAGTTTTGGGCATGAAAATTCAGGAAACTCCCCTGAGTATTTTATTAAATATCTGAAATTTGGAGAGGAGTTGGGGGACACACGACACATCAAATCACATCTACAGATCAAGACGAAGCTATTGGAAGTACTCCTAGCGTGTGAACATGTTTGTGAAAAACGTGTGCAAAGTCTCCGAAAACGGAGCAGTGGCTGTGATGCTAGCTTTGCGGCTAGCGGTTAGTTGTTATTGTTTGAAGTTGTTTCTATGGAAACAACATGACGGAGAAAAAATTAATATCTTCTACATATAATAACGGACAAAGTAAAGAATGAAGTGTAGGCTATGCCTGTTTGAAGTTGTTGCTAAGGAAACAACATGACGGAGAAAAAGTATAATCTTCTACATAAAATAACGGACAAAGTAAAGAATGAAGTGTCGGCTATGTTTAAATGTTCGGAATTTGACCGTGATGGCCCTCTTGAGTTGCCGTAAAATATGACGAATATGACGGATGCGACGGAAATACACCCGAACATATCTGGTAGCCCGAACATATCTGGTACTGACACCGGCGTTGTCCAATATGGCGGACCATCTCGCACATGCGCACAGCAGATCGGGCAGAGCTGCAGATCGGGTAGTGACACCCGGGAAGTGAAGACCGGCGGAAACAGGAAGTCCGGCTCACTCAAATGTCCGTGCGGAACAATACCCCAACCCATAGATCCGTGGGTGAATAATGTCAATCACCACACTGTATACTATTATTTTTCAAAGACATGTTACATTTCACAAGCATATATTGCTATGTTTAGGACAAACAATTAAAGACTGCTTTAATTGAACAAATTCTGCAATATAAAAGTGGCAGATTTGCTTTATTAAACAGACCAGACCTAGGTTGCATACCAACACAATTAGGAACATGCTCACATCTTACTATGTTGGCCTGAAGAGCTGAAGCATTCATACACAATGGATAAAACCGGTGTTGTTTCATTCTATATCCTGTGAGAAAATGATATACATTTAGCATTAAAAATTCGACATACATTCAAATCTGTTGATTATTCATACCTCCTCAGGCTAGGAATACTAGCCTGAGGAAGATATGAATAATCAACAGATTTGAATGGAATCTAACATTTTCATGTAGAATAAAGACAAAAGAGTGATTATACAAATTACATTTATTGAAATTTGAACCAGAAGATGAAGTCTCAAAGAATGTTTTCAATAAAAGGACATAAAACAAAAAGGTGGATAATAATAAAATCTATTAAATGTATATGTAAAGACATTTGGTCAAATGAAATGACACTGAGCCAGTGATAACAGTAACGCCAGCGTGGATGAAGCTGGTGCAGTTCTTTCTTCATGCCCCCCTCCGTGCTGTCCCTTCAGAGGAAGTGGGAAAACGGGATAAGACTCTGGACGCCACGCTGTCTCAATGATCCACACTGTTAATATGAGATTTAAATAAATGTTTTAGGAAATGAAAAATATGAAGTTAACAAATAAAACACAGCTCAGGGGCATCATGGACGGTAGGTTTTCCTACAAAGTTAACTCAGCCTCCATTGATTTTCATATCAAATTAGCGTGTTAATAAAATAAGCTATCATGGTTTATACTTGCATATCTAAACAGAATCATGAAAACCTGTTGGTAGAGTCAGGCACATGAGTGTGTGCGCCGGTGTCTGAACGCTCACTCACTGCTAGCTATGTAGCTAACTGTTAGGCTACTTAGCTTGCATTGTTATGGATCTAAAGGTAGCACAAGCTAACTTTCATAGCACAGCTTTACTTCTCACTTAACACAATAAAGAAACAGACCGTATAGCACAAACAACACAAATGATCAATACTTACATATATTTTCACTTGTAGTAGGCCCATTATAATATTTGAAATGCTGGTTCTTCTGGGGGTCTTCTGTCCACGCTCAGCTAGCTACCGCACCGCAGCCTGCCTGCACTGTACAATCGCTGGAGGACTGGGCTGTCACTCAAAAACTGAGTAGCCAATGGGGACGCACCCCTGAAAGTCCCGCCCACCTGAGTAGCATGAAGCTGCAGCGTCGGAGACAGCAGAACGGCCCGTCTACACTACAGGCGTCAAAAAATACAGGACTGCACTTATAGAACCTCACACACAGGTCCGACGGAGCACGTCACGGCGGCACGTGACGGAGCACGTTCACATGAACGCCTGAAGCCCCTCAATGCAGTGCGCAATCTAACCCTTCCCTTCCCCCATCCTAACCCTAACCACTCCCTACCTTTTTATCTAATCCTAATCTTGCTTCCTCCCTCCCAAACCTCAATATGTTTCAATGTTGATATGACGTAATTTAAATTAAATACAGGGTTTTAATTTGAAGCAGTTTTATTCTGAAAAACCCGGAAGTTCACACTAACTATTAATTTAACACTTTTATTCTGAAGATTCTTCATTTCCGGTTAGCATTAGCATGTGGCTAACGTTTTGAAAACCGTGAATTGAAGGTGAAATTACATTACATTACATTGCATTTAGCTGACGCTTTTATCCAAAGCGACTTACAATAAGTACATTCGACCAGGAAGACACAACCTTGAAGAAAACAGAATCATATAAGTACATCAGGTTTCATAGAGCCAAACATTTCAAGTGCTACTCAACTGGCTTTAGGTAAGCCAGTCCTTTATTAGTATAAAAGTGCTTTGTTAATAGTTCTAACGCTCGAAGTGGAGTCGAAAGAGATGAGTTTTCAGTTTTGCGCCGGAAGATTGTGGAAGCTATCTGCCGTCCTGATGTCAATGGGGAGCTCATTCCACCATCTTGGAGCCAGGACAGCAAACCCACGTGTTTTCGCCGATGGGAACTTGGGTCCCCCTCGCAGCGAGGGCGCAACGAGTCGTTTGGCTGATGCAGAGCGTAGTGCCACGCGCTGGGGTGTACGGTTTAACCATGTCCTGGATGTAGGAAGGGCCAGATCCATTCGCAGCATGGTAAGCAAGTACCAGTGTCTTGAAGTGGATTCTAGCAGTTTACCGGAAGCCAGTGAAGGGAGCGGAGGAGCGGAGTGGTGTGGAGAATTTAGGAAGGTTGAAGACCAGACGAGCCGCTGCATTCTGGATGAGCTGCAGAGGTCGGATGGCACATGCAGGTAGACCAGCCAGGAGGGAGTTGCAGTAGTCTAGGCGTGAGATGACGAGAGCCTGGACCAGAACCTGAGTCGCTTTCTGAGTCAGCTGGGGACGTATCTTCCTGATGTTGTAAAGCGTGTATCTGCAGCAACGGGTTGTAGCAGCGATGTTTGCAGTGAAGGACAGGTTGTTATCTAGGGTCACAACCCAGATTCCTTGCAGTCTGAGTCGGGGAAACAACTGAGGTGCCGATGTTGATTGTTAGGTCAAGAGTGGGACAATCTTTTCCCCGGAGGAAGAGCAGCTCAGTCTTGTCAAGGTTGAGCTTGAGGTGGTGAGCAGGACATCCACTGAGAGATGTCAGCTAGACAAGCAGAGATGCGTGCAACGACCTGGGTCTCTGAGCGGGGAAAGGACAGAATTAATTGGGTGTCATCAGCGTAGCAGTGGTAAGAAAAACCATGCGGGCTAATGACTGATCCGAGCGAGTTTGTGTACAGGGAGAAGAGGAGGGGACCAAGAACAGAGCCCTGAGGGACCCCCCATAGTTAATTGACAAGGGTCGGACTCAGACCCTCTCCAAGTCACCCTGTAGGTACGGAAATTACATGTGATGTTGTACACTAAACACACTGGGATTAACACTCATTTATTGACGCTGGAATAACATTTTATCAGAATTATTTATATATATATTAATAATATAAGATATAATATGTTACTTTATATATACAGTCTATGGTAAGTACACAACACAATACGCAAAACAACTAGGGTCGTGGGAGTGCGGTCCTGAGAGTGCAGCCTCCAACGCTGCAGCTTCATACTATTGTCCCACCTGGGAGGTTTGTGTCAGAATCTCAAACAAAAAATGAGGGATCGCAAAAGAGAGAGCTGCAGCAAGAGCAAAAGTCTGCTCATTGAGAAAGAAGAAACAAGAACTGCAAACAAAAACCTATGTTAAAACAAAGAAAAAATACTTATGGTTTACATGATTACACAAATGATTTGTTTGCAACTTATAGTTTTATTTTTGAAATTTATTTTATTTTGCTTGACTTTCGTTTTTTTTCTTCTTTTAAACTCATAGTTTTGCTTTATTCTGAGAAAGTGTTGCTTTATCTTTATGATACAAAACTAATCCCATACATAACCACCTGTTCAATACCAAGTATTCAAAAGACATGTTGGCATTTGATTCTGAACACACATTGCTCCCTGGGTCCAGGTGATTCCCTGCGCTCAGCGGGATGCCCTCTACTGTCTCCACGAGAACGGCTGTATCACCCTCCGAGTGTGTCGCTCCACTACAACCCAAGAGGAAGCAACAGGTAATAAAACCTCTTCATGGTACAACTGGGTTGTACTCTCTCCCCCCATCCTCACTCCTGTGTTATCCCCATCATCATCTCTTCAGACACACTGCAGTCAGAGCCTGTAGCCTTGCTTTATGCTCCAGTGAGCATTTAACCTCTTACTCTCATTTATCTTTAGCTTAGTGTTATAGGCCAGTGGGAGTCCTCTGTTGCTGAGTCTCCCTCCTTTCCTCCCCCCACTTACTCTCCTTGCTATCTCTTCCTCTTGTTACTCCATTTCTTTCTTTCCTTCCATTTCCTTTTGTGAGCCATTTATTTCTCGTCTTATTTTCTTATCTCCTCAAATCCCTCCTCATATCTCCCGTTTTCTTCTCACACTTACTTAAAACATTTTCTTCACAGGTGTCTCAATCAGACTTTCTCACGCTGCTATCTACTTCCAATCTTACCTTTTTTATTTTTCCCTTTTTAAAATGACATCAACTCAATGTCTTTATCCACTTTTCCCCTTTTTAATTTCCTTTAATTTGTTTATCAATTTGTATCTCCCACAATAATCCTTATTTTTCGATCCACCCACCCTCCCATCCTGCCCTTTTGTTCTACTTCTCAATTTGTTAAACTTCCTCCATCTCTCCTCCTCTCCCTCAGACCCCGAGCAGAGTACCCACGAGCTGGTGTACGACCTGCGTTCTCAATGCGATGCCATCCGTGTCACCAAGACAGTCCGGCCATATCGCATGGTTCATCTGCCCCCGTCAACGAGAATAGCGCTGCGCTAATGGTCAGCGACGGCAGAGCCATGCTGTGGGAGCTCAAAGCCCACACCGGCAGGGCTGTCACCAATCAAAGGTACACACACACACAGATCATTTTTAACTTCAACTTCTTATGTTTTGTAAAATATTTGTTCTAAAATGTTGCAACTGTCACGTAACCACATTTCCCCCCGGGGTAAATAGAGTTATTCTGGGTCTGATTCTGATGAAATCCCCAAAGCTACATAACATTTTTTAAAGGTTGGGACTGAAAAGCAGAGAGCGTTTTAAAGGACTTTAACAAAATAATATTCTGACCTACATTTAGCCTTCTTAGTGACTAGCGAACTAAGGAGGTGCACAGAGATGTGTGAGGCAAGGAGATATTTATCTGCCATTGTGCTGTGGTTAAAAATACAATAAGCTGCATCTCTAAATAAAATATGGTTGGCATGTCTTTGTTTTTTGACACTTTGTGATTCATTATTTTATTATAGTCTTGAATATGGTTTGGATGTTTCATTCAGGTGAGCTTTCTATTTAAGGACTATTGAAATGTTGCAGCTGTCTCATACTACAATATACTGGAAATCTGGTGTTCTTTTTTAAAGAGGCCATATTGTGCTTTTTGGATTTTCCCCTTTCCTGTAGTCAGGCTTGACATTTCGTCATTTTAGGGGCAAGGCCATTTGACCTTTGGTGTCACACATTTTTTCAGGGTGCAAAGGCCACATGCCAGGGCACAAAGGCCATTGAGGGAAACATTTGGATTTGGAGCTTACAAATATATAAACTTCACTTTCTGATAAGAAAAACACACAAATGACATGGAAAACAAATCACTTTTTTAATATCAATAATGTCAAACATTATATCCTCATATAGGTCTAAGGCTCCTTAGTATTACCGTATATACAATGAAATACTCTACTTTGAATAATTAGTGTTTGGTGTCTTTTCCATCTACTACTTCTCCCATTATCAAATCCAAAATCAAATCAAAAATTCTATTAATATGTAACAAATATATTCCATTTCCGAGCAGAAGAAACAGCCTTCAAGAGTCAAACTCTGCACAATAAATCATTCAGCAGTGCACAGTGAAGCTCAAACATTCAACTTTATGAACAAGTAATACTTTTGTGTGTGTGTGTGTGTGTGTGTGTGTGTGTGTGTGTGTGTGTGGTGTGTGTGTGTGTGTGTGTGTGTGTGTGTGTTGTGTGTGTGTGTGTGTGTGTGTGGTGTGTGTGTGTGTGTGTGTGTGTGTGTGTGTGTGGGTGTGTGTGTGTGTGTGTGTGGTGTGTGTGTGTGTGTGTGTGTGTGTGGTGTGTTTGTGTGTGTGTGTGGTTGTGTGTGTGTTTGTGTGGTGTGATGTGGGGTGTGTGTGTGTGTGTGGTGTGTGATGTGTGTGTGTGTGTGTGGGGTGTGTGTGTGTTGTGTTGTGTTGTGTGTGTGTGTGTGTGTGTGATACATTTTTTTCACCTCAAGCATCAAATTTGCCTGACACGTTCTCCGCGGCTAAGCTAATCAGCAGTGAGGATCTCAGCCTGCCGTCACTGACGTTGAATCAGAAAACCAAAACATCAGCCGTTAGCTGTTAGCATTCAGAGCTCACAGCTCCTCATATCTGTTCAGAAAACTGGACAAAAGTTAACATGAACAAACCACAGACTGTCTGTGTCATGGCGAATACAGTCGCTGCTTTATTTTCTGTCTTTAGGACGTTGTTGTGAGTGGGGACGGAGCGAGCTACAGGTTTTAAAAGGTTTTTTCGCCTGCCTGACGCAATGCGAATATTCGCATTGTGTCAGTGTGAACGCAGCATAATGCAGTTCAGAGACCAGGGGCCTCATTTATAAAGGGATATACGCTCAAAAAATGGTGTACGCCCAGTTTCTACGCAATGTTTGCGATTTATAAAATACTAACTTGACGGTAAAATGTGCGGTCCTCCATGCAAACTCTAACCCATGCGTACGCACTAAGCACAAAAACGGGAGAGACGAGAAGCTGCGACACCGCGTTGGCAGAAGGAAGAATGGAGAGAAATATGTGGAAATAATACCATAAATAAAATGTTACCTCTCATTTATCATATATGAAGAATTCATCTTCAAACATTGATTAAAGCCAATCTTAAAATTATTTAACAAACGCCTGTTTGAGACTCCTCAGTGCACACAAAAACATAACGTGGAGAAATAAATACGGATATGTTATTTAAAACCACCTGGAATATGTTGTGTTAATGTTATGAAATGTTTTCTCATAAATGATGCGGTAAGCAGGAGGACAGAATTACGTCTAAACTGACGCCATTTTGCATTTCTATAGGTTGTAGATACGAGCATGGTTTTATATACTATCACGTTTAATCATGTTTTATGCCGTTTGCCAAGACTTGATAAGTTGCTCGTAAAACACAGGAGGTATGGAAACTAAGAACACCCTATGTGGTAAATTGTACAGCTAATATAACACATCACATTAGTTGCATTTCCTTTAACTGGTGGATTATGGATATATAGTTGCTGATCGACAGCTGGAACACAAACCACCAAATACAACACAAATAATTCAGATCCAGTCGTCATGACTCCACTCCGGAGGGATTCCCCGATCATTTCTTAGAGTTTCTCATCAAGAGGGTGTCTCCTGTCCCCGGTACACACTGCCTGAGGAAGGCTATGTGTATTTATTTTGTCATTAACCTTTTTCGGACCACTTATTTATTTATTTTGGTGACGATCCGACCTCCATGCTGCCACTCTGGTTCAAACTGCATCCACCAAACAATATGATTTATCTCGACCTCCCCAAAATAACCAAAATCTGACACGGTGTGAGATGTCTTTTTTAGCTGTTCTGTCGTCATTTCCTGCGATCTTCTTCATAAAGTCAGTCAAAATGAATGAATGAATGGGCGTTTCTTTGACTATTTATAGGCAAATATGGGCGTTACGTGAAGCTGCTTCGATTGTGCTTTATAAAGGGAAACCGGCGTAGGAAGTTCCGTACGCACTTACCTCGCCGGTACGCAATGTTTTGTGAATCGGAACATTTCTGTACCTATTTTTTGGATTTCTACTACGTAAGCAACCTTCCCACGTGAATCCTAAAAAAAGAGTGTGTGTGTGTGTGTGTGTGTGTGTGTGTGGTGTGTGTGTGTGTGTGGTGTCGTGTGTAGTGTGTGTGTGTGTCGTGTGTGTGTGGTGTGTGGTGTGTGTGTGTGTGTTGTGGAGTGTGTGTGCTGTGTGTGTTGTGTGTGTGGTGTGTGTTGTGTGTGTGGGTGTGTGTGTGTGTGTGTGTGTGTGTGTGTGTGTGTGTGTGTGTGTGTGTGTGTGTGTGTGTGGTGTGCTGTGTGTGTGTGTGTGTGTGTGTGTGTGTGTGTGTGTGTGTGTGTGGTGGTGTGTGTGTGTGTGTGTGTGTGACAAGAGCTATATTCAGAGCTCTGCTGCCTTGGCTACACTATTTCATCGTTGCTGTTGTATGATTGGTGTTTATCTACGGTATTTAGCGTCTACAGCACCTCCGCTTTTAGGGTTAACGTAGACCCAAACTTCGCCCGGAGGTCCCCCGGTGTTGTTGCGGGAGCTGCTGCACTAGCTAACGCTACATTAGCTGCTGCTGCACTAGCTAACGCTACATTAGCAAAACAAACGCTAATTTATTTTGCAAAAGGTGCAGTGGGCTTCAAACACGTTCCCTCCACTGGTTTCAACCAAGCACTAAATTAGATGTTTTCCAACCAAATACGGTTGAACTTACACTTCCCCATATTTATTTGTAAGTAGATTCGAAGATATGCTACATGAGCTGAAGCTTGGTTGCTAGGTTACTAGCTGGGTGTTCTCTAATAAGGGGCCGGGGAAAACAAAGTTAGTGATTACTGGTTCCATGTTGATTTAATTCAATACAAATTGTTGGGGGGAACTGAAAGGCTGTTACCGCACTGGTTACTTTGCAGCCCGGACATTTCCCCCAAAACACATTTAGACGCTATCGCAACACAGAAGTACCTTTCAAATCCGATACATTTTAAGACCTTCTAAATCATATTTAAGACCTTTTTAAGGCCTTAAATTCAGATTAACAAATTTAAGACTTTTTAAGACTTGTTAAGACCCCGCGGGAACCCTGAATGTAACTTTTTTTAATTGTCTGAACTTCTCCCACCTCTGACAATAAAT